GCTAGTTTTTGATTTATTGTAGAGATGAGGTCTCGCCAAGTTGCCCAGGCGGGTCTCAAACCCGCGGGCCCAGGCAATCCGCTCACCTCAGCCTCCCAAGGCATGGGATTACAGGCCAAGCCACTGAGCCTGGCTTTGATTATGATTTTGTATGTGAAAAAAAATTTCAGTGCAAGCAACATTTGACATGTTTCTTCCCATTGTAAAAAAGTCCATACATTTGTGAGCCCAGTGCTGGATATTGTAGACCCCTGCTTCTCAAACTTCAGTGTGTGCAAGTCCCACGGGGATGTGATTCAGCAGGTGTGGAATAGGGTACCCAAGACTGCATTTCTACCAAATGTGCTCCAATGGGGCTAATACTGCTTGCGTCTGGCCCACCCTTTGTGTGCCATGGCTCTAGAAAACACCTCCAAAGTCAATGACATTTTTCTTTTCATTGGACATCATCATTTTCCTGATCAGTTGATAGGGCCAGTGTGAGTCTAGGTTACCTCTTGGCTTCTGAAAGGTTATTTTCCTAGCAAAGGAGACCAGGCAAGAGTGGTCTCGAGAAGTGGCAGTGCTGTCCCCTGAGCCTGCTGTGCTGAGTGTCCCCCCACCTCTGCTTCTGTGACAGGTGCCTGCAGAACTATATACCTGCCCACAGTTTAACCCTCTCCTGCCCAGTGTGCCGTCAGACCTCCATCCTGCCCGAGAAAGGGGTGGCTGCGCTCCAGAACAACTTCTTCATCACGAACCTGATGGACGTGCTGCAGCGAACGCCAGGCAGCAACGTTGAGGACTCTTCCATCCTGGAGACGGTCACCGCGGTGGCTGCAGGAAAGCCCCTCTCTTGCCCAAACCATGATGGGAATGTAAGTGACAGGGACGGCAGAGGCTGCCCCGAGGACGGGACCGCTGTGGCCTTGATAGATGACACAGGGAGACAGAACAACTCCACCTGGAAAAGGAGGCACTAGAAAAGGTGTCACCAGCCCTCAGACTACTTTGCCTGCTTGCTTTCCCCAATGATTGAAATAATAAAATCAGTCTTCCTGGTGTCTGCTTGACACATATTGTCAGTAGCCCCCGGAGAGCAAACCAGTAGTTATTTTGCAAGCTGGGCATACTCTGACCTACATAAACATGTCTAATAAATTATGGATAAAGATTTAATAATGGATAAGCGTTTCAGGTTGAGAATGATTATTAAAATGTCAGAGCTCTTATTTTTCTTGTGAGGAAAATTTTCTCATGCTACATTAGACCCTATTTCTTTTTAGTAAGTAGAATTTGAAGCTATGTGAATCCTGATAGTAAACCATAGAGTTGCTTTTAGTTTTTTTCTGTTTGTTTTTTGAGTTGGAGTCTCACTCTGTTGCCCAGGCTGGTGTCCAGTGGTACAAACACAACTCACCGCAGCCTCAACCTCCTGGGTTCAGGTGATCCTTCTGCCTCAGGCTCCCAAGTAACTGGGATTACAGTCACTGCGGCTAATTTTTTTGAGTTTTTTGTAGAGACGAGGTCTCACTGTGTTTCCCCAGATTGATCTCAAACTCCTGACCTCAAGTGATTCTCCTGCCTTGGCCTCCCAAAGTGCTGGGATTATAGGTGTGAGCCACTATGCCCAGCCTAAGGTATTAATTCCAAACATATTTCCTGCTACTAGCAAGTATAATAACTATTATGAGCTCAGGAGGTTCTGTGTGTACCATTGAATAACTGATTCACAATAGCTGTATAACCTGGAGGCAGCATTGTGTAATATCAGGAGCACTGATTTTGGAGTCAGACTGCCTGATTTAAATCCTGCCCTTGCACTTTTTCCCTGTGTCAACTTTCGAAAATTCATTAAACTCTCTGTGTCTCACTTTCTCATGGGTAAAAGGAAGTAATAATAGTATGTACCATATCAGATTATTGAAAGAATTAAATGTTTAAGTTATATAAAACATATAGTAGGCTCTTGGTAAATGCTAGCTTTTAAAATTATTATTATTAATTATGAGTTGGGGTCTCACTCTGTCACCCAGGTTAGAGTGTAGTGGCATAATTATAGCTCCATACAGCTTTGGCCTCCTGCACTCAAGAGATCCTCTTGCTTCAGCCTCCTAAGTAGCTGGGATTACAGGCACATACCACCACATCTGGCTAATTTTTCTATTTTTTATAGAGACAAGGTCTTGCTATGTTGCCCAGGCTGGTCTTGAATTCCTGGGCTCAGTCTCCCAAAATGCTGGTATTACAGGTGTAAGCCACCATGCTCTGCTTAAAAAATTTTTTTTCTTTTTCTTTTTGTCTTTTTTGATTAGGAGTCTCATTCTGTTGCCCAGACTGGAGGGCAGTGGCACACTGACAGTCACTGCAGCTTTGACTTGCTGGGCTCAGGTGATCCTTCCGCTTCAGCCTTCTAAGTAGCTAGAACCACAGGTGCGCACCACCATGCCTGACTAATTTTTTGATTTATTGTAGAGACAAGGTCTCATCAAGTTGCCCAGGCTGGTCTTGAACCCCTGGACTCAGGCAATCCTCTCGTCTCCACCTCCCAAAGTGCTGGGATTACAGATGTGAGCCACCGTGCCTGACATAAAATTATTTTTAAATAATAATTTTAGTCACCTTATTCTTTATGTATGGCCACTTCAAGAGTATTTAAAACTGTTTGTAATAAAAAGCCTAAGTATAGCGAAACCACTAAGGCAAGCAAGCAGTGGTTAGAGCATAACAATTATTAGTAGCCATACCATTCTTCACTTGTCTTACCTCACACATTCTCTCTGGCCACTATGCTGTGGCCTCACCTGCCTTTGGGAATTTGCACACAGTTTCTCATATTACAACATGGCTGTTCTTTGGCCTGGGATGTTCTTTGTCCTTCTCTCCATGCTCCCCACCCCTCTCCCTTTGTTAAGACAGGATCTTGCTCTCTCACCCAGGCTAGAGTACAGTGGTGTGATCATAGCTTACTGCAGCCTCAAACTCTTGGATTTAAGGGATCCTCCCACCTCAGCCTTCTAAGTAGCTGAACCACAGGCACACACCCCATACCCAGCTAATTTCTTCTTTCGATAGAGACAGAGTCTCACTCTGTTGAGAAGACCGTGTTCCCTTTTTATGTCACTAGCTCATTCTTTTCCTTGAAGTCTCAGCACACATGTCTCCTACAAACAGTGGTCTTCTCTACCTGTCTCGTCTATGGCAGGCCGCCTCCCACACCCGATTATCCACCATCCCATCCTTTCTTTATCCCCTCCCTGGTGCTCAACATGTACTGCCTAGCGTCACTGCTTATCTGTCTGCTTATTGATCTTCTGGCTTCCCCTCTAGAATATGAGCTCCAGGAGGGCCAAGACCCATTCATTATACCCTTAGCACCAAGTAGAGGATCCCACACATGGAAGTCAATCAGTACATATTCGTGGAGCCAATTTCTCAGACATCATACTTGGCTCTTTAAACCCACTCTGTAAAGTAGGTGTTAGTTGCCTTCATTTTATAGATAAAGAAACTGAGACTGGAACAACTGAGTTGCAAAGCTCCCTGACACACCATATCATAAAAGCTAGACCTGGAGGAAACAACATCGTGAGCTTTCTGGAAGCCAAAACAAGAGAGTGACACCATAGCTTACATATCTGTAATGATTTAATTGAAAGCACCACCAGCCTATTAATAACTGTCAGGTTTTCCATGCGATGTATTCTAAGGGAGAGTAAATTTTGTAAAAAGAACTTTAAATAGCGCCTTTAAAGCAGTTTGAGCATTCTTTTCATGACCATTTCTCACACTGGTTCTCAGTGACTACTGAGGCTGTCTCTGCCTAGAACTCATATTCTAAACACAAGTTCTGGGAAGGCATTTCCATCAGGTACAAGAGTCCCCTTAAAGTGCCCCTTGGAGCCCCTTAGAATGGAACTTTCTGGAGACCTGACTTGTAGAAGAGTAAAGTCTTACAAACATGAAGAGATCTGCTGTAGACACTGGCGTGAATTTGGGATGTGAAGAGGCTAACAAGAAAAATGAGAAATATTGAGTCAGAAGGATTGCCTGCATAACTAAAGCGAGAATGCCATGGAATTCAGGCAATGGTTTGTATCTCCAGGAGGCTGAAGCACGGAGGCAGGGGAGGTGAGAGCCGGACACAGGTGGCTGGAGAATTGTAGGGATGAACTTGGAGAGGTAGATGGGGAGAGATTGGGATGAGCTGTGAATTTCATTAAGAAGATGTTTGAGGCTGGGTGCGGCGGCTCATGCCTGTAATCCCAGCACTTTGGAAGACTGAAGCAGGAGGTTTGCTTCAGCCCAAGAGTTTGAGACCAGCCTGGGCAACATAGCAAGACCTCGTTTCTACAAATATAAAAAAATTAGCCCGATGTCGTAGTGTATACTAGGGAGCCTGAGCAGAAGAAGATTCACCTGACCCCAGGAGGTTAAGGCTGCAGTGAGCCGTGGTCATGCTACTGCATTCTAGCCTGGGCAACAGTGTGAGACCCCAACTCAAAAAAAAAAAAATTCCACATTAAAATGTTGTCATCAGGCGATGGAGTGAGTCTGGAGAAGAGAGGATAAATTTCAGAGGGATAGTGTACTGTGTCATTCGAGAATCTGTCTCCACAAATAAAAAGGCATCTGCTAAAATCTGTTAAGTGAAGCTAGTGAGACTATGAGAACTTGAGCAATTAACCTTATACTAGGTCACAAAGAGAACATCACCATATTTTCCTATTGTGTAAGCCAAGTTTCTGGACCACAGTGCACTAAAGTTATATTAGTAACACATGTTTATGGAAAATACCCCAAATAACTTTTAAAAGTTCACCAAGATTTAATCAAATAAAAAATAGCAGAATTGGACTATTTGCAAAATATTAAAAGTGGAAACCTTATCTATCAAACGTATAGGGTAATGTCAAATCTTTACTCAGGGAGTTTTTTTTTTTTTTTTTTTTTTTTGAGGAAGCAGGATTTATTGAGAGGACAGAAAAGCTCCCACAGTGGGAGGGAACCCAAAGGGGTTGCCCTACTCAGGGAATTTTTATACATTTAAGTATTTTCCTTTATTTAAAAAGGGCTCAGGCCAAGCACAGTTGCTCACACCTGTAATCCCAACACTTTGGGAGGCCAAGGCGGGATAATTGCTTGAACCAAAAGTTCGAGACCAGCCTGGCAACATAGTAAGACCTCATCTCTACATAAAAAAAAAAAAAAAAAAATTGTAAAAATAGCTGGGATTTGTGGCACTTCTCTACTTGCTTGTGGTCCCAGCTACTCTGGAGGTTGAGGCAGAAGGATCACCTAAGCCCAGGAGGTCGAGGTTGTAGTGAGCCATGATCCTACCACTGCATTCCAGCCTGGGTGACAGAGTGAGGCCCTGACTCAAAAAATGAATACATCCATATATATACACATACATATATACATAAGTAAATAAATAAAGTTCAACTGAAGACGTTAGGAAAAGAACAAAATAAATATATCAGCACACAAAACAGAAAAGAACACCTATTCATGGTTATATATTTCTGGATCATAAGAAAAGATAGAAAGCTCCTCATTCATTTTTGATACACTCATAAGCCTAACACTAAAACCTAGTGGGCATAGAAGAAAAAGAAAACCATTAATAATTCAATATATGATAGTAGTTGTAGAATTCTTAATTAAAATACCCTCAACAAATTCTTTTTTTTTTTGAGTTGGAGTCTCACTCTGCTCCCGGCCACTGCAGCCTCGACCTGCTGGGCTCCCGCCATCCTTCCGCCTCAGCCTTCCAAGTAGCCGGAACTACAGGCGTGTGCTACCACGCCTGGCTGATTTTTTGATTTATTGTAGAGATGAGGTCTCGCTGCCCAGGCGGGTCTTGAACCCGCGGGCT